ATGAAGAATTGGTGCACGACCAATCAGAGGTTGAAATGGAGACGTCTATCTTAGTGAGGATGTGGCCTGTGTGATGCCTAATCTTGCCTAGAACTGGCTGCACCTACTGTTCTTTCGCTTATGCCTTCATCCTTGGTTACCCTACCTATTCTCCTGCCTCACTCTGAGGCATTAGAGCTGGTTTCTCAGTCTACAAGGGACAAAAGAGAACTAATCCAGCTAGGACCATGCCAAGGAAGATAAGAGATGTGCCTGGCTAAAGCAAGAGTACAAAGGTACAAAGGTGAATCTCTGTCGTTCCCACAGAAAAACAACTGTCCTGCCTATTAAGTCAATAATTGTGTCCAATTCATTGAGCAAAACATTTATTCATGTAATATCCCTTACTTGGCATTCTAACTTATTATATTTTCAAACCATTTTAGGAAACTGAAATCAGGAATCAGTCTCAGGTAAAGAACAATGAGAGAAATCCCAGCTTGGTATTGGTAATAGTGGTGATGATCTCACCTGGAGACATTGGGTGTATGTTAAATTACTAAGCTCATATCTTTCCTGGGAAGCGCTTATCATTTGTTTCTCTTGGGACAGCAGGGAGTGTTCAACATGAACTAATATGACACCAGAAAAAGTGGTGAAATGCAAGTTACAGAAACTTAATACCAATGACTAATAAATGATATGTGGTGACAGAAATAGCTCTATTGAAACATTAGTGCATAATGAAAAGTTTTTAAACTTCAAAGAAGTTTTTTTTTTTTTTTTTTTTGAGATGAAGTCCCACTCTGTCACTCTGTCACTCATGCTGGATGCTCACTGCAACCTCTGCCTTCTGGATTCAAGCAATTCTGCCTCAGCCTCCCAAAGTAGCTAGGTTACAGGCACATACCGCCATGCCCAATTTTTAAATTTTAATTATTATTATTTTTTTGAGACGGAGTTTTGCTCTTGTTGCCCAGGATGGAGTGCAGTGGTGCGATCTCTGTTCACTGCAATCTCCACTTCCCGGGTTCAAGTGATTCTCCAGCCTCAGCCTCCTGAGTAGCTGGGATTACAGATGCCCGCCACCATGCCCAGCTAATTTTTGTATTTTTAGCAGAGACGGGATTTCACCATGTTGGCTAGGCTGGTCGCAAACTACTGACCTCAGGTGGTCTGTCCACTTCGGCCTACCAAAGTGCTGGGTTTAAAGGTGAGTCATCACTCCCAGCCAACAGAAGTTTTTTCTTTCTTTTTTTTGAAATGGAGTTTTGCAGCTCTTGTTGCCTAGGCTGGAGTACAATGGCATGGTCTCAGCTCACTGCAACCTTTGCCTCCCAGGTTCAAGCAATTCATTCTCCTGCCTCAGCCTCCCAAGTAGCTGGGATTGTAGGCGCCAGCGACCACAACTAGCTAATTTTTGAATTTTTAGTAGAGACAGGGTTTCACCATTTTGGCCAGGCTGGTTGCGAACCCCTGACCTCAGGTGAACTCCACCTCGGCCTCCCAAAGTGCTAGGATAACAGGCATGAGCCACAACACCCAGCCTAGAAGTTTTAACAGTGATGTCTAAGAGAGATGGAATTAAGGTCAACATGTGATTAAAATGGTCCCCTTGTTGGTTTTGTCATTAAAATGAGATTATCTTTCTTTATTGAAAAAATTGCCGGGCGCGGTGGCTCAAGCCTGTAATCCCAGCACTTTGGGAGGCCGAGGCGGGTGGATCACAAGGTCAAGAGATCGAGACCATCCTGGTCAACATGGTGAAACCCCGTCTCTACTAAAAATACAAAAAATTAGCTGGGCATGGTGGCACGTGCCTGTAATCCCAGCTACTCAGGAGGCTGAGGCAGGAGAATTGCCTGAACCCAGGAGACGGAGGTTGCGGTGAGCTGAGATCGCGCCATTGCGCTCCAGCCTGGGTAATAAGAGCGAAACTCCATCTCAAAAAAAAAAAAAAAAGAAAAAATTGAACAATACCAAGGTAGAGAAAAATTGTGTCCACCCACCTACTTGGGAGGCTTGGAAGGACAATCATTTCAGCATAGGAGTTTGAGGCCAGCCTGGGCAGCATAGTAAGACCCTGTCTCTAAATAAATAATTTAATGTATAAGTAAAAACAGAAGGTGAAATTTGCAGTATAGTATTATCCTCATAGAATTGTGTCTTCCCTTTGCTCATTATTCTGTGTCCCCGGTGGTCAATTACATTACTATACAAGTCTTTCCATCTTACAGGAAAAAAAAAGTCATAGATTCTATACAAATCTGTACTTTGCTTTTCTCACTTAGCAATATGGTTTGAACAATGAAAAGCTTCTTTTACACATCAATTTGATATCTCCTTAGGGCCACATTCTATTTTTTTTTCCTTTTTTTGAGAAAGGGTCTCACATTGTTGCTGAGGCTGAAGTGCAGTGGCACAATCAAGGCTCACTGCAGTCTCGATCTCTAAGGCTCACATGATCCTCCCACCTCAGCCTTCAAGAGTAGTTGGGACTATAGGCATGCACCATACCCAGCTCATTTTTGTATTTTTGTAGAGACGGGGTTTTACCATGTTACCCAGGCTGTTCTCAAACTCCTGAGCTCAAGTAATCCTCCTGCCTTGGCCTCCCAAAGTGCTGGCATTATAGGATTGAGCCACCATACCTGGTTTATTCATCTTTTTCTGATGTAGAACCCATGCAGTGACAGTATAAGGAAAACGTGAAGAATCAAGGAGGAGGCTGGATGCGGTGGCCACGCCTGTAATTCCAGCACTTTGGGAGGCCAAGATGGGCAGATCACTTGAGGTCAGGAGATTGAGACCAGCCTAGCCAACATGGCAAAAACCCGTCACTACTAAAAATACAAAAATTAGCTGGGTGTGGTGGCACACACCTATAATCCCAGCTACTTTGGAGGCTGAGGCAGGAGAATTGCTTGAACCTAGGAGGTGGAGGTTTCAGTGAGCCGAGATCATGCATTGCACTCCAGCCTGAGTCCATCTAAAAAAAAAAAAAAAAAAAAAAAAGCCAGAATACAATACACAAGCAACTGATATATTTCAACAACAAAGAAACCCTCAAAAAATCTAATTAAAAAATGTCAAATGACCTGAACAGGCATTTTTCAAAAGACAACATAAAGATAGCCAAAGCCGGGTGTGCTGGCACGTGCCTGTAGTCCCAGATACTTGGGAAGTCGAGGTGGGAGGATTGCTTGAGCCCTGGAGTGCTGGGCTGTAGTGCACTATGCCAATCAGGTGTCTGCACTAAGTTCGGCATGAATATGGTGACCTCCCAGGAGCGGGGGACCACCAGGTTGCCTAAGGAGGGGTGAACCTGCCCAGGTCGGAAATGAAGCAGGTCAAAACTCACATGCTGATGAGTAGTGGGACTGCGCCTGTGAAGAGCCACTGCAATCCAGCCTGGGCAACATAGCAAGATCCAGTCTCCAAAATATATTTAAAAAAATAAAAAAATATATAAAACACACTCATCACTAATGATCTGGGAAATGCAAATCAAAATTGCAATGAGGTATCACTTCTCCCTGTTTAGGATAGATATCATCAAAAAGACAAAAACAGATGCTGGCAACGATGCAGAGAAAAGGGAACTCATACACTGTTGGTGCAAATGCAAACTCATAAAGCTAATATAGAGAACAGTATTGAGGTCCTGTGTCATGAGCTGGACACAGTGGCTCATGCCTGTAATCCCAGGACTTTGGGAGGCTGTGATGGGTGGACCACAAGGTCAGGAGTTCGAGACCAGCCTGACCAACATGGTGAAACGCTGTCTCTACTAAGAATACAAAAATACAAAAAATACAAAACTACAGGTGTGCGCCTGTAATCCCAGCTACTCAAGAGGCTGAGGCAGGAGAATCGCTTGAATCCAGGAGGCGAAGATTGCAGTGAGCTGAGATCACACCACTGTATTCCAGCATGGGTGACAGAGCAAGACTCCATCTCAAAAAACAAAATGAAACAAACAAAAAGCTACAAATAGAACTACGACATCATCCAGCAATCCCACTACCGAGAATTTATCCAAAGGAAAGAAAATCATCACATTGGAGAGACATCTACAACCCTTTACTATTTACAACAGCTAAAATATGGAATCAACCTAGATGTCCAACAATATATAAATGGTTAAAAATGTGATTTATACACACAAAGGAACACTATTCAAAGAACAGAATGAAATCCTGTCACCTGAGGCAACACAGATGGAAATGGAGGACATTAGTTAAGTGAAATAAGCCAGGAACATAAACATGCACATTCTCACTCATATGTGGAAGCACTGAAAAAATAAAAGTTAACCTGAGAGACAGGGCAAGACTCAGTCTCAAAAAAAAAAAAAAAAAAAAAAGTTTATCTCTTAGAAGTAAAAGGTAGAACAGAGGATACTGGAGGGTGAAAAGGGTAGTGGGTAGGCAGGGATAAAGATTTGTTAAAGGATATAAAATTACAACTAGACAGAGGAATAAATTCTAGTGTTCTATACCACTACAGAACTAAAGTTAATAATACATAGAAATTGAGATTGAATGTTCCCAACATAAAGGAATGGCGAATGTTTGAGATGAAAGATATACTAATTACCCTGATCACTCTACATTATAGGTATCAAAACATTGCTATTACTCCACGGACATGTACAATTACAATTTGTCCATTTAAAAACAAAGAAATGGTCCGGCGTGGAGGCTCACATCTGTAATCCCAGCACTTTGGGAGACTGAGGCGGGCAGACCATGAGGTGAGTAGTTCAAGACCAGCCTGGCCAACATAGTGAAACCCTGTCTCCACTACAAACACAAAAAATTGGCCAGGCATGGCAGTGCGTACCTGTAATCCCAGGTATTTGGGAGGCTGAAGCAGGAGAATCACCTGAAACCAGGAGGCGGAGGTTGCAGTGAGCCAAGATCGCGCCACTGCACTCCAGCTTGGCAACAGAACGAGTTTGTTAAAACAAAAAATAAAGGAGGGGGAGCAAGTTAAAAAAAAGAAAAGAAAGAAATGTTAAAGAAACCATTTATTTTTATGTGTGCATATAAGAGAGACAAAGTACACATATAAATGTATTTGTATAAAACAAAATTCAGAGAACATATACTAAAGCATGGTTATTGAAAATTCATACATTTATTTAATCTTTCTCTACGAATTTTGCAGGGACGCTTCTCTGTCCCTAATAGCCCTCTGTGTGTTACCTAACCTTTATCCCTTGTGAACATTCTGGTGTTTTAGGAGATTGGAGTTGAAGGTAAAAGATTTTCCACAGTCACTACACTCATAAGGCCTTTCCCCACTGTGAACTCGCTGGTGATTACTGAGGTTAGAGCTCTGGCTAAAGGATTTTCCACATTCACTGCATTCATAAGGCCTTTCTCCAGTGTGAATTCTTTGGTGTTTAACAAGGCTAGAGCGGTTACTAAAGGATTTCTGACACTCACTGCACTCATAAGGCTTTTCTCCGGTGTGATTTCTCCTATGTCTAATGAGGCTGGAGCTCTGGCTAAAAAATTTCCCACATTCCTTGCACTCATAAGGCCTTTCTCCAGTGTGAACTCTCTGGTGTTGAAGGAGTGTAGAGCTATGGGTAAATGATTTCCCACATTCCCCACATTCATAAGGCCTTGACCCAGTATGAACTTTCCAATGTGCAATGAGATAGGATTTACAGGTAAAGGATTTTCCACATTCACTGCACTCATATGGCCTTTCGCCTGTGTGAACTCTCTGATGAACAATGAGGTCAAATTTCCTGCTAAATAATTTTCCACATTCATGACATTCATGAGCTCTTACACCAGCATGAACTCTCTGGTGTTGGAAGAAACGAGATCTGTAAGTAAACAATTTCCCACATTCACTACACTCATAAGGCCCTTCTCCAATGTGAAGTCTCCGGTGTTTAATGAGATGACAGCTTTGGCTAAAGGATTTCCCACATTCGCTGCACATATAAGGCCTTGTACCAGTGTGAACTCTCTGGTGAGTAATAAGGCTAGAACTATGGATAAAGGATTTCCCACACTCACTGCACTCATAAGGCCTCATTCCAGTATGAATTCTCTGGTGTGTAATGAGGCTAGAGCTATGGCTAAAGGATTTCCCACATTCACTGCACTTGTAAGGCCTTTCTCCAGTATGAACTCTCTGATGTATAATAAGGTCATACTTCCTTCTAAATAATTTTCCACATTCATCACATTGATGAGGTCTTACTCCAGTGTGAACTCTTCGGTGTGTAATAAGGCTAGAGCTTTGCCTATAGGATTTCCCACATTCCTCACATGTATAAGGGTTTTCTGTGTGAACTCTCAAATGATCACTGAGGCTACAGCTTGTGCTAAAAGATTTCCCACATTCACTGCACATGTAACATCTTTCCCTACTGAGGTCTCCCTGGTGCTGAATAAGTACGTGTTTGTAGCTGAAAGCTTTCATACGTTCTCCCCAGTTGTTATGATTTTTCACACTGTGAAAAGCCACTGCACTGTTGGTTCTGTTTGACTTCTTTCTGGTGTGAGTAGCCTGTTGCTGGAGAAATCTTGATCTCGCCAGGAAATCCTTCCCAACTTCCTTGCAAGTGAATGGCTTCCCAGATACTTGAAATGTGCAGCTGTTCAAAAACATCTCTCTGCCCACATTGCTTCTGAAGTGTTTCTGTCCAACATGCTCCTTCTGGTGCTGATGAAGGTATGCAGTAAATTGTAATTGTTTCCTGCATGTCCCATCTGTGTACAGTTTCTGACCATGGGGTGTTCCCTGGTACTCAACCAAGTGCAAAATCTCTCTCAAGACTGGGCCACATATCTCACAGGAGTTGGTCTTCTGGGGAGAAGGAAGGGCCTTAGGAATCCTAACCTGTGACACCTGCTGTGGAGAAGTGCTCTGCTGATAAGGTGCCTCCTCATCCTCTGTTCCACAACCACCTGAAAGAAAGGAAAGGTTGGTGAAGAGCATGCTGATTTTAATGGAGAGGGGGTAGCCCATAGACAATGTGCATTCAACAAACCCAGGAACTGAGTCAATGGGGTTGTTTTCAGGACCAAGGTGTTGGGTTCAAGTTGAAGATGGGGCTGCCTAGCAAAATTGGGCCTCTAAAGATCACAGAACTGGGGAGGCCTCATGAGTTAGAAAACACAACTATGGGATGAGAAACATGGAGAAGAGACAGGATGTGCAACTCATTCCTCTAGGACAATTTTCAGTGAGATCTGCTCCCCTGCTAACACGTGCCTTGTATACAAGTATGTATCCAGGCCCAAGGAAATGTGCCAACAAAATAGTAGCTGACATATGTGGACACCTCATAACACAGTAAGTAGAGGCCAATACTGGAGAGCACTGCAGATAAAGCAGTGAGAAAAATGGGTGAGACATGGAGTCCAGAGATGTGAGGATTAACCCCAGGCTGGAAGTAAGAGAAGTAGTAACAAGGTATAGAGCTGACAAGCAGGCAAAGTGTCAAGAAAGGGGATGAAAAGGCAGTAATGAGGTTTGGCCCCAAATGTCATTAGCACCAAAACATTAGACAAACAGAGTATGTTTCTGGTATGATTTGAACATAACCCTGATATAATGTTCTCCTTTAGGTCAGGCTCAGGGCCAGGCTCCCTCTGAGTCCATCTTGCTGTGGGGGATATCATAGCCATCCTTGGAACCACAGGGCCTGTCCACCTGACCCCTATGATCAAGAACATGGAACCTGAAATATGCAAGCACCCAAGACCAGCCCAGAAAGACTCTACACGATAGCCCATAGGAAAAAATAACACAAAGATAAATTCAGAGAAGGATTTTGCAAGAGGCACTCATAGTCCACATAAGTAGTGACAATGTCAGTGATTCCTGGCAGAGGCAGGCATGAGGAAGTGTTAGCTAGAGGAAGGAAATAGAACCTGGGCCTCCAGGAACCTAAGATCTGGACAAAGTCACCTGGCCAGGGAGAGGCAAACAAGGTGAGATCCGTAAGGCCAACTATAAGAAGCCTAACTCTGAATCCTTCCACATGAAAGGGACGCAGGTGTTGCCTGCTCAAGGAGAAAAGGTAAACATACAACCTTAGCCCTACCAACTACAGCACCTACCCAGGAACAGAAAGCTGTGTCCATAGTCCTCTCGTGAGGATATATCTGTCCCCGAGGAAAGGGTAAGAGCAGAGACTAGCTCTGGGTACAGAGGTGGGTGTGAGGACCTTACCCAGGGAGGTTGTAAGTGTCAAGTTCTCCAGCATCACATCGTGGTACAGGCATTTCTGAGCCTCATCAAGGAGACTCCATTCCTTCCAGGAGAAGTACACAGCAACGTCCTCAAAGGTCACAATACCCTGCCAGGATGGGGACAGATGAAACCACAAATGGTTCCTTCTCTCAGGATCCATAATTCATCCCCTCACACATTTACCCAATGCTCATCTTCTTTTGAAGCTCCCCAACTCAGTGGAGAAAGCAGTCCACTGGTGCTGTTTTCTCCTTATTGGCCTCTTGGTCACTGGTTGCAGCCACCAGTAACAAGAGGCAGGCAAAAAAATACATGTATCTAAGCTGTGGGCATGGCATAAGGGCAACTACCCCTCCCTGACAAGCATTCCTCTGGTATGACCAAGATTATGTAGGTCTCAACCGGGGCTGTGGGGCCATCAGGCATACTCCCTCTCCAAGTGCATGTCATTCGTTACACTGCACATACCTCAGGTCTCCAGATCCCACAGCCACATGACCACGATCACCACTACCTCACTGTCCCATACTACAGGCTAAAGCCTGGCCTCCACACATGCTACCTGGATGAAAGAGTGGATAACCTAATGGTTACAGTGGATAACCAACGGCCAAACACGAGACACTTGACACTAGACAAATGAGATCAACAGTTTATTAATTAAAGACAAATACTCATAACTTGTGAAAGAATACCACACTCCACACAGGGCCATATAGAAGTAGTACTCCAGAAAAGAGTGAACAACCAGGTGCTGTGGAATGTAAGCTTTGTTGCATCAAGATGGAGAAGCTACCCTGGTCCCCAGAGGAGGGGACTAGCTTGTTTGAATTACTCAAAAAATTGGTAGGGTACTGAAACCTGCTACAAAGTAATAAGCAGGAACTATTCTGGTTCCCTGAATAAAAAAGGTTCATTTGGCTGAGAGAGCTTATTCTTGGGAGCAAAGTGGGACAGGGAATTTGCTCTCAGGCCATCTGAGGCTGTAGTGTTTTCATCAGACGTCAAGGTGACATATCACACTGGGCCTTAATTTCTGGCCTTACACCACAACCAGCTTCCAGAGTGTGGATTTAAAGAGGATCCGATATCCCAGACTTCCCATGGCTTGCACTACTGGAAACAGCCTCAAAAACTTCTTTGAAGGCCTCCCTGCCAGGTTCCTTGCCTCAGATTTAGTCACAGAGAACCACAGGTGAATCACAGATAACCAGGGTCCTATTCCACTTCTGTGCTGCACTTACCATCCCCTTGGCAGTCATATATCCACGTAAAGCTCATTTAAATTCCAGCCTCACTGGTTGCCCATCTCATACACAATGACTCTCACAAATGACCATATGACACTAACTTAATCTTCAAGCCTGAATGAAACACCCAGGCCCCATCAAGTTATCACAAAATTCTGGATACCCGCAAAGTAGCAAATAAGCATGATTTCTAGCCTGAGTGTCCTATGCATTTGCGTTCATCTCATATCCATTCTTCACTTGGGAGCCCTGGCCCCTGCCAAACTACACTGTCTTTTACATACCCTGCCTTCATGACCACTTACTCCATCATCATCCTCCCTGTCTTGGCCCACTAACAGTTTTACAACCAAAGCCTGGGACTGGCTCAACCTAACTGTGACCCACAGCTCACTCAACTTGGGGCACACAACAGCCACATCTTGAACCACTCCCTCGATTTCAAGACCTGTGTGTTCATCTGCCCACTTAACACCTCCATTTAGTAGGGTCTGAAAGATCTGACTCTTAGCATGGCCCAAATAAACCTGATATCCCTAGTGAATATTACTCCTATTGCCAATGTGTTCATCATCTTAGTTGATGAAACGTCTTTCCCTTCAGCTGCTAATACCAACAACCCTGGGGTCTTCTCTGAATCCTGTTTCACTCCCTGGCCACCTACATTACATAATTTAGTTGTCCCTTTTGAAACCATGCATCCAGAATCTAACCACACATCTCCTTGACCACGATCCTGGGCTAGTAACCCTCATCTGGACTAGTCCACCCGGACTTTCCTTCCTCCTCCGTCAATCCCACAGTTTGTGCCCCACTGTGTACACAGATGAAGCCTGTGAGGACCTTGGTAAATCACCTTTTTTCTGATTACCTCCTGAAAACACACACTTCTCAAGCAGCCACTGCAGTGATGACGCCTATCCTCCTTTTCTTTGCACCCACCAGAAAGCAAGGAGACTTGTGGCTTCACAATCGTTCCCACCTCCGTATTACACCTAAACATTTGCACATCTTGTACCTTTCTGGAACAATCTTCCACACCTGTTCATGCTGGCTGCCAGAGATTGGAACAACTCTATATACATGCTAACATGGACACAGGACCCCGGGCTTGGGGTTCACCCACGGTCTTCAGAACTGAGGGCTGGGAGAATGCCACTTGAGAGTCCCGGACCACCACAACCCAGAGAACCTGTGGGGAAAGTTAAGGCCAGTGAGAGACCGGGAAACCCTCCCCTTCTTGGCGTAGTTTTCATAACCCCCTCTACAGCCAAGGGAGCCGTGGAAAAAGTCAGGCCTCAGAGAAAGTCGTCTATGGCGGCGTTACACGGGCTCAGGCCTCCCTGTAGCCCCAGGCCTGGCCTTGGAGCTGAGCGCCCTCGTACTGGCTGCACCACCTCTGTGCCCCAGGGCTCGGTGGCGCCTCCGTCCGCCGCTCCTTGCCCGTCGCGCTCTCCCTTCCCTAGCACTCCAGGTGCTGGAAACGGGAGCACCTCTGGCAAGTCGCCCTGTTCTGTCCTGGGCTGCAGGGCCGCGAGCAGGTGTCCTCGGGGTGTTAGGACTCGGATGCGGAGGGCGGGGAAGGCCCGGAGGACGCAGCACTCACCAGGGCCGGGGCCGTCAGCGCGGCGGCGGCCATCGGACTCTATGGACCGAGCGGGGCCAGAGATTGGCTCTCTATTCTGGGCTGGGCCGGGGCACCCCGAGGGACGCCTCGCCTCAGTGCAGCGGGAAAGACTCCTCTCGCGCCTTCTCAGTCACCAATGATGCTGACCCAGCGCTCCGGCGCTAGCAATCCGTACAAACGCCAAAACAACCGCCACGACGACGACGACTGAAATCCCGGCGCGACTGCGCTTGCGCTTACGGAAACGGCACCGTTCTGAGGCCTCATTGGCTGGAGGTCGCCGTCGCCCAACGCAGGTCATTCTGGGTAATGTTGTAGCTCCCGCAGGCGCACGGCGAGAGAGTGAGGTCGCCACCGCCTCCTTCCGGAAGTGAAGGCCAAACCGCTGCTGGGGGCGCTGGGAAATTGCAACTCCTGGTTCCGAGCGGAGGCGGGGGTTTGCTCTTTCTTAAAGGAGCCGTACCCAGGTTTCTTCCGATTGCTGTCTGTATTTACTTGTTTTCGCGAGTTCCCAGAGGCCGTTGCTCCAAATGCACATCCTTACAGTCATTCAGTCACAAAATATATCCACTGGTCGAGAAAGCAAATAAAAATGATTATGTTGCAATTCAAACGCATGCACTCAAGCACTGGAGTTTTCTGTCTCTGTATGTTTGGTTACGGACAAGAAAAAAATACTCCACACAGGTTCATGACGAAGAAGAAGGTGGGATGCGGAGGCAACCCGTAGCAGCGGCACAGAAGTAGATCCCTGTTTCTGGGTCCCATAGAAAATAACTCTCCTGCCTGTATAGTCAAATATTATGTCCAATTTACTAAGCAACACTTGTATCCATTTAATCTTACTTCCTCCATTTCTTTTTCTTTTTTTCTTTTTTAAGACGGGGTTTCACCATGTTGGTCAGGCTGGTCTTGAACTCCCGACCTCATGTGATCCGCCCGCCTTGGCCTCCAAAGTGCTTGGATTACAGGTGTGAGCCACCACGCCCGGCCTCATTTCTTTATATTCACTTCTTTTTAGTAATTTGACATCAAGCTCAGAAAGAGAACAACAAAAGGAATGCTATTTTGAAAAGGCACGATACTACAGCATTCACAGATGGAACAAAGGGTGCTCTGAATCCCAAATGGAGGGAGTAGAAATATATATAATTTTTTTTTTTTTTTTTTTTTTTTTTTGAGACAGAGTTTCGCTCTTGTTACCCAGGCTGGAGTGCAATGGCGCGATCTCGGCTCACCGCAACCTCCGCCTCCTGGGTTCAGGCAATTCTCCTGCCTCAGCCTCCTGAGTCGCTGGGATTACAGGCACGCGCCACCATGCCCAGCTAATTTTTTGTATTTTTAGTAGAGACGGGGTTTCACCATGTTGACCTGGATGGTCTCGATCTGTTGACCTCGTGATCCACCCACCTCGGCCTCCCAAAGTGCTGGGATTACAGGCGTGAGCCACCGCGCCCAGCCAATTTTTTTTTTTTTTTTTGGACGGAGTCTCCCTCTGTGGCCCAGGCTAGAGTGTGCAGTGGCGTGATCTCGGCTCACCACAACCTCTGCCTCCCGGGTTCAAGTGATTTTCCTGCCTCAGCCTCCTGAGTGGCTGGTACTACAGGTGTGTGTCACCACACCTGGCTAATTTTTGTATTTTTAGCAGAGACAGGGTTTCTCCATGTTGGCCAGGATGGTCTTGATCTCCTGACCTCGTAATCCGCCCACCTTGGCCTCCTAAAGTGCTGTGATTACAGGCGTGAGCCACCGCACCCAGTGTCCACAGCTCTTTCAACTCTGTTTTAGGTGGGTATAAGAAGAAGGACGCAATTTGTATGATCAACTTTCACACAATTAACAGAGATCCTTTCTAAATCTGCTAAATATGCAGGATTTTTGAGCTGTGACTGGAGGAAAAACCCCAGCAAATCTCAAATCAGTATGTGTTTGTTTCCCTAATATAAAAGAAAATGTTATTTTCTATTATTTATGTGTTATCATAAAAGTAGAAAAATATCCATCAGAGACGTGGAGGAAATTTCAATGTGTACTAATAAGCAAAGAGGCCATTTTGAAAAGGCTATGCAGTGATTTTCTTTTCTTTTCATTCTTTTTTTTTTTTTTTTTTTGAGACGGAGTTTCACTCATGTTACCCAGGCTGGAGTGCAATGGCGCGATCTTGGCTCACCGCAACCTCCGCCTCCTGGGTTCAGGCAATTCTCCTGCCTCAGCCTCCTGAGTAGCTGGGATTACAGGCACGTACCACCATGCCCAGCTAAATTTTTGTATTTTTAGTAGAGACGGGGTTTCACCATGTTGACCAGGATGGTCTCGATCTCTTGACCTTGTGATCCACCCGCCTCAGCCTCCCAAAGTGCCAGGATTACAGGCTTGAGTCACTGCGCCCGGCCTCTTTTTTTTTTTTTTTAAAAAAAAAACAAGGTCTCACTCTGTCACCCCAGCTGGAGTGCAGTGGTACAATAATGGCTCAGTACAGCTTGAACCACCTGAGCTCAAGCAGTCCTCTATCTCACCCCTCCAGAGTAGCTGGGACTACAGGTGTACACCAAGCCTGGCTAGTTTTTCTATTTTTTATAGAGATGGGGGTCTCACTATGTTGTCCAGGCTGGTCTTGAACTCTTGAGTTCAAGTGATCTGCCCACCTCAGTCTCCCTGCTGGGAATGAGGTACATGTAAGCCACTGCACCTGGCCGTTTCCCTTATTTATATTTCTAGCTCACACTTTCCCAGATGGGATCCATTAGCTGTGTCAGCATGTCCAGCTACTTGTGTAATCGGCCTTTCAGACTAGACTTGTCCAAACATTGTCCCAAACCCCCTGCTCCAGGATCTGCTGTTCAAGAGTCACCCCCTCAGCTGTGGCAGCCCAGACCTTCTAGCTCCTCAGTAGCCAACCCAGTAGTCATGCTTCACTCCTTTCCTGCATGCCCATGTGGAGCCTGTGAGCAAATTGTGTTCTGCTTTCCAGGGACAGGAATCTAATATTTTTCCCGACTGCATGTGTTAACAACATTGATCCAGCTAGAGTCTTTTTTGACTTACAGAGGCCTCATATGCAATCTTTCAGCAAAGCTTGTCCTAGACTCAAAATTCAACGAGAATGGAATTGGTTGTCATCAATACATATGTGACAGTCACGGGCCACACTACCATCATCTTGCCAATTTTCTCTTTTTTAAAAATATTTTATTTTTATTTTTATTTATTTATTTATTTTTTTTTATTTTTTTTTTGAGACGGAGTTTCGCTCTTGTTACCCA